TTGCATGTCATTGTACATTTCTATACTGTAATTAGTGTTTATTTTGGAGGAAGGCAATTTAAAGTTTCAGCTATGCATTAGCTTAAGTTACAAATGATGATTGGATTGTGTGGAAAATACTAAGAAAGTAAGGTAAGATTGTATAGTGTTCTCTTATAAAGACAGAATAAACAAACAGTTCACAGTAGGGAAAGAAGAAGATCCATAGCATTTAATACCAAATAATGATAAATGTGACATCATAAAACACATGTCATCCATACATAGGAGCTAATAACTTCTGAAAAAAGACAAAGTGATAATATTAGAAAAAAAAATTACCAGCTAAACATCTGAAAGTGATTCTAGAATATACATAGAAGACTGATCAAAAGTTAGAAAGGATCACCAACTACCATTATTCTGCTACATGTTATAGTTTTAAAATTATTCCTAGTGTCTTATTGATTTATTCACCAGTATTGCATCTGAAGCCCCTAATACAAAAATTTCCTGTATCACTTTACAGCAAAAGAGAGAGACACCTGTGCTAACATTTCAGTACTAAAAAATGTTCAGTTGTAACTGTCATGTCAATATCATCCCCTCTAGGCAATGCTCAGGGATGGTTCAGAACAGAATGATGAAAGATGCTAAGGGTCAAAGGCGCTAGATGACTATAAGGAACCAGTATTTTCAACACACAGTGGGAAATTCACACATAAGAACTCACATGACCATGACAGCATGTATAACACCTGAGCAAGTGCAAGTCAGATCAAAATCCCAAGATGAAAGTGGAGGAACATGGAGTCACAACACTAGCTGAGGTGCTCTTAACATCTGAAAGCTGATTGGAAAAGGAGAACCAGCTTTATTTTAAGAATGAAGCCTCTGGTAATTTGACCATACTTCAGGAAACGTCTAAGCATAAAGAGTACTTTGGCAACTAAAATTGAATACAACGGATGCAAAAAAAAATAGTGTGGGGTTTATGTATTCTTTGAGTTCTAGTAATGTTTCTTTTACATATGTGGGTTCTTTTATATTAGAGGCATATATATTCAGGATTGAGACTTCCTCCTGATGAATTATTACTGTTATGAGTATAAAGTGTCCTTCTCCATCTCTTCTGATTCATTTTAGTTTGAAATCAATTTTGATAGAAATTAGTATAGACACACCCACTTGTTTCTTAGGTCCATTTGACTGAAAAGATATGAGAGTTAGCCAAGAAGAGGATAGAACTAATGGGCCAAGCAGTGTTTAAATGAATACAATTTGTGTGTTGTTATTCCGGGTCATAAACTAGCCAGGCGGCCAGGAGCTGGGTGGCAGGAACGCAGCCCAGAGCTCCTTCTACAAATTAGGATTTCCTAATTCACTCCTGATGTGGTTACAAAGATACTCATGCAAACAGGAGAGATTAAAAGTTTCTCCTTTGCTGAATTCAAGGGCTCTAGTCAGCAGGAATGATATGCAGTGAGAGCTTGGGCTATACTGGCCTGTTCTGTCCAAGACTGCAAAACAGAAATGGGAAAATGAGAACAGAACTCAACTGCAGATCAAAATTCTATAAAGCTGATCACAATATACACCTTGTTTTTAGTGGCAAAGTTTACAAAGGTGTTGTGGTTGCTACTTAAAATAATAAATAGCAGCTGTCAAATGAAGCACAAGTGAAAGTAATTTCAACAGTTGGCATTGGGTTCCTAATTAACAGTCTGCACTGAAAGTGTTTGGGAAACATTAACTCTCACATTGTTAAATGTACCTAAATCATTTATTACTCATGTTTTAATGCAGTTATTTCTGACTTTCAGATTTAAAGAGAACTAACTACAAAAATTTTTGGCTTCTTTTGATAGAAGCAGTAGAGTACAAAACACATCAATACTAGTTTTTGTTTGTTATGTTTGTTGCATATTATCACTATATGTTATGATACATTCATATGAACTCATATATTCTGATATGTATCAAAAGTAAATATTGTGCATACCATAATCCCCATGAGGATTCTATTGTTAGGAAACATCTTTTTACTTAAACATAAGTGACAAAGAAAAGCTATATATGAAAAACATTGGGAAAGGTTAAGAAGGACACCAAGTAGCTAAGAACAATTTTTTATGTGGTTTCAGATGTCTTGCAAAATATCTATAGAAGCTTGAAATATACAAGTGATTTTTATGTTTAAGTCATTGCTAGTGATCAATCTAGGGCAATTGCATGTATGAGACTAATGGTTGTCTGTAGTTTCTTTTACGTATTGTTCATCATTTCACACATATACACATAATTACATATATATATATATACAATCTATATACATATTTACAGCCACATGTGAAAGTATGTGTGTGTATCCATGTCATATCTTAAAGAAGATTTCATAATATTCACACTCACATTCTGGCTCATATTTTCTTGCCAAACTCTCCTCTATGAAGATGCTTTTTCTTTATTACAAGTATTTAATGAATTTGAGATTCCTCACATACGACGTCAAAAGTTGTCGGTTTAAATATATTAATACTATACTCAGAATCACCTATAATGCATTGGTGTCTTATAGAACAAAATCGGGAAATTACTTCACCTTTTTGTCCTTTGGCCAGTAGCAACCACAGATTTAAATTGTCTAATTCATTCACCAGGATTAATTTACTTTACTCTATCTGTCTTTTTTTACAAGTCTGAATCTGTGCTTTCCTGAAGAATGTCTTATGAATTTGTTGTTGTGTCTGTGTATGCACCTAACCCTAACAAGCTTTTATATTCTGTCCTTTTATTGAACAGAACAAGGAGCATCAGAAGGGAAAGGTTTGGGGGATACTGTCCTTAAGTCTTTAAATAATTTCAAATAAATTCACTAGCAATGACTTAAACATAAAAACCACTTGTATATTTCAAGCTTCTATAGATATTATGCAAGACATCTGAAACCACATAAAAAATTGTCAGTGAACCCCCTTGACACCACCTGATACCAATAATAGACAGTACTACAAACACCATTGTACATCCTATTATATCTCTCTACTGTATTCAGCGTTTATTTTCAAAGAGGTTAATTTACAGTTTCATGTATGCCTTAGCATAGGTTACAAAAATAATTAACTAATGGGAAAATTTAAAGAAAGAAAGGTTGGTTTTTACAATGTTCTCTTACAATGACAGAATAATGAAACAGATTACAGTAGGCAAAGGTAAAGTCTTTCTGGCAAAGATCCCTAGACCATAGTGACAATTGAGACTTCAAATCTAACTGCCATTAATAGATAGCTGACTACTAACTTTTTAAAGAAGAGAAAGTGTTAAAATTAGGAAAATAACAATACAAGCCAAACAACTGAAAGTGATTCTAGAACATACCTAGAACTAAAAAGCTATACACCAAAAAAAAGAGAGAGAGAGAGAGAAACTAAGAAGCAAACAAAAATAAAATTGCCATTGGCATTAAAACTAGGACATAAACCTAAACAGAAATCTCAAAGGATATATAAATATGTCTGAGAAGCATTTTATAATGTTCAACATGCTTAACAATCACTGAAATGCAAATTAACTATCCTTTGCAATTTCTTTCCCATATCAGAATGACTAAGAAAAATAACATTAATAAAGGATAACAACTACTGCTGTATGGCTGAAGAAAAGGTAATAATTTATTCACAATTTTTGAGAGTTCACAGTGGTGAAGCAAATGAAATCAATGTGGAATTGCTTCAAAAAGCTAAAAGATATTATATCAATCATATTTAGTGAATTTTATTTGACTTAGATATCAAGGTATCATGAGTGTCTTCATGAAAAAATATCACACTGTTCCTTCTTCTAGTTTGTACAATAATTTGAGAAAAATCAATGTTTGTTCTAGAAGAATTACCAAAAGTTAATAAGTACAACCTGCTACCATTACTCTGCTACAAGTTTGGGGTTTAAAATTATTCCTGATGTCTTATCTTTTACCACCAACTACTGCATCTCTAAGCCTCCATCACAGAAATTTCACGCCTATATTTACTGCTAAAAGAGAGACCCACCTGCAGTCATAGTTCAAACAATAAGAAAATGTTCTGCTTTAAGTGTCCTTTCAATATCATGTTGCTTTCATTGGTAATAAAGGAAGTGCTTTGGGCCTATAGTAAATACAGCAATATCATCTCCTCCAGGCGATTGTCAGGGATGGTTCAGCACAAAATGATAAAAGATGGTAAGAGCCAAAAGAGATGAATGACTATAAGGAAGCAGGGTTTTGAACACAGTGGGAGATTTGTAATTACAAACTCAAGTGATTCATAACAGCTGAACAAGGGCAAGTCAGATCAAAACTCCCAGGCCACTTTCCAACTAACTCTTATTACTTTAATTAAGCCATAAAGTTTTGTTCTATGTTCTGCCACATAACACACATCCAGCTTCCTCCATCTGGTGGAAATTTGCTTCATTTCAATCTCCTGCTTCCACTATCTCCCTGGCAGGCCCGCCTATACCTCCTACCTAGGTTTGTCCATTTACTTCCTCTTACTTCAATCACAGCAATAAACGTTCACACAGTATATACATGCCCAGGTCAAATCTACTTCTTTGTTATGATTCATCCACAGAACAGCTGACATTAATGTTATCCTGACATTAAAGAATAGACTATCAGAACAAAGAAATGCAAAAAATGGCTAAAATATTTAACAGTTTTATTGCAAAGAAGGAAAACACTTGAAGTTCAAAATAATCAGTTATTGATCTGAAATCACAAGTAACTACAGGAAAATAATGTTTATATAGAATATAATCACATTACCTAAAGAAACATATGCCAATCTAAAATATGCATCAAAATCTGGAATAGTTTGATTTTCGATGGTTTCTTAACACATAATCTTGACATACAGTCAAGAAATGTTATTGCTTAATTCATTCCTACTAGAGATATTTTTTATTGATAATAATTGATACTTAAATGGTTATGTACCCAATAATGATGCATAAATAATTTATTTCACAATGAATGTTTCATGATTATAAAATTCAAACCTGGACACAATATTTCTAAATTTATTAGGACTCTAGCACCATATAAGTATTGACTAAGCTTGGAAAGTATTTGAAGCATATGAGTCTGTGAAATAGCTTGTTCAGTGTATGAAGACTGGTCAATTGAATTGGTGTGAGTTAAACTAAGAAGTTTTTTAAAGTGTACCCATTCCATGAATTTTCTGATGCCTTCTAAGACTTGTGCATATAGTAAAGGACTTGCAACATTTTTTACATCTATAAGGTTTCTCAGTATGAATTCTGTGATGAGTTTGAAGATTTGCATGACGGGTAAAGGACTTGCCACATTCTTTACACCTGTAAGGTTTTTCACCAGTATGGATTCTGTGATGAGTTTGAAGATTTGCATGACGGGTAAAGGACTTGCCACATTCTTGACACCTATAAGGTTTGTCACCAGTATGGATTCTGTGATGTCTGTAAAGTGTTGAGACCTGGCTAAAGGACTTGCCACATTCTTGACATCTGTGAGGTCTCTCTCCAGTATGGATTTTGTGATGTCTGTAAAGTGTTGAGACCTGGCTAAAGGACTTGTCACATTCTTGACATCTGTAAGGTTTCTCGCCAGTATGGATTCTGCAATGTTTGTGAAGATTTGACACCTGGTTAAAGGTCTTGCCACATTCTTGACATCTGTAAGGTTTGTCACCAGTATGGATATTGTGATGAGCTTAAAGATTTGCATGATGGCTAAAGGACTTGCCACATTCTTGACATTTGTAAAGTTTGTCAGCAGAATGGATTCTTTGGTGAGCTTGAGGACTTGCATGATGAGAAAAAGATTGATCACAATCTTGACATTTTTGTCCTTTCTCTTTGGAAATAATCATCTTATGACTAATGGGGCATGAACATCTGTTGAAGCTCTTTCCATATTCCTTATAGTCGTATTGTGTCTCTTCGTTTATACTGTTTATATAATGCTTCTCTTGTTTCTGGTCATGTAGGAGGGAAAAAAAGATGTGTGTTATAAGCAAATATTTCTATACACTTCTCAGGGAAAAACAGCCTCCTACTATATATTTAAATACCGAGTAAACGTATTGTGATGCACTTTTGGGTCATTTGTTCCTTCAACTGATAGTTGTGGCAACTATTCTTCCTAGAGTTCTTGGGAAAGAATTTATTAGCATCACTTTATATGTAAGACTTTTCCCCACTAGAAATGCTATGCTACATTTTCAGTCTCATTTTATTGAGAAAAACCTTTCAGTGTGGATCTAAATTGATTAGTTTGTCACAAATATAATTAATAGTTGTGGGACTCTAATGAATTCTTAATAGAAGAATTCATATTTATCATTCACTTTTCAGACTTTTTCAACTTTCTTTGCAGATAAAAACATGTTTTAAAACTTTAAGTGCATTTTTTTAGAAAAGGAACATCTTCTGTAAATGTGTGAATTCTAGTGTGATGTTATTCACAATAAGGTAGAAATTCTTGACCTTTTTTGGCAAATTTATCTAGGGTGGCTCGTGAGTAAAGATTATTTCAAGTATGACACAACCCTTTCTTTTTGCTCTCATCACCAAATTTTTAAAATATCCTCAGGTGAAAGGTTTCTAGGTCAAAACTTACAGATATTCCAGATACCAACTTCAGAATTGGATCTTGTATATTTCCCTGTGCAAGTTGTTCTTGTGTTTGATGGGAATATAGAACTGGAAAATAGGAAATAGTTAATTATCTGAATTAGTACACTAAGTTGAAAATTTTTCAGATATATAAGGCACACCATTTTATAAGTATGGAAACTGTATGCTATGTGGCATAAAAAAAACTTACGATCTTTTTTTTTCTAATGAAACAATCTTCTCATTTCCATTAAAGATCTTTGCAAACCCCAGTGCAAGGACAAAATTCTCCAAGTCTTAGAATTCCCACAAGTGTCAATGCTTCATTCTAACTTACCTTGTTCATTGCCTTCTTTCTCTTCAGTGTTCACATTCCAGGGCTCTTTGCTTTGTTCAAGAGAACTGATCAGGTTTGGTTTTGACACTGAAATACCTGCATGTTGTAACAGACATATGGTCTTACCATGGGTTAACAGTAAAACACATGGGGTTCTAATACATCTCCATAGTGATTATATAAGAACACATATAATATAAAATTCAAGATATAATTTCCCAATTGCTACCATATTTTTTATTATTTTATTTTATTGATTTTTGTTGAGCTCTACATTTTTCTCTGCTTCATTGCCTGCCTCTCCCCTCCCCTTCAGCCCTCTCCCAAAGTCCCCATGTTCCCAATTTACTCAGGAGATCTTGTCTTTTCATACATAGATCTTCTCTACATGGGAAGTATAAAAAGTAGTAGAAAAAGCAGTATCTTATAATATTTTAAAATATTCAAAATAATTTATGATAATATTTTATACCTAGAGTTATTTTGGAAATTTTTAATGAATCTAAATTAAAATATATTATAAATCATTAAGTTGCAAATCTATATAAACTATGATGTTTCTGAAAGTAAAACGTATTATAAAAGTTTGAATGATCAGCGTCATCTCCAGGAGTCAGAAATTTATTGACAAATTAAAATTACAAGAATTATTATGTTCTACATGATGAACGTCACAATGTTTATTAAATTAGCATGTCAATATCAGGGAGACAATTTAGGCATAGTTGTTAAATATACTTATATAAAAACAATTATGAATAAGTCTCACCGACAGAGAGCATATTACTGTAGGTCTCCAACATGACATCCCTGTACAAAGCCCTCTGAGCAAAGTCCAGGCAATCCCACTCATCTTGAGAGAAGTCTATTGACACATCCTCGAATGTCAAGATTTTCTGTCATGAAAGAAAATGGTTTAATCAAGTGCCCAGGTACAAAGTTCTTTTTGTATTCTAAGATTACATAAGATCTTCATAAAACTTGATTTGTTCTTGATTAGCATTATTCTAAAAGAATACTCTAAATTACGGTCTATACAAAAATCTATGTGATGGAAATATGACAGATCAAGTGAACTAAGACAAATTCAAGATGTAAATCCACAGGCTGAAATAAGGTATATGAGTGGGAGGCAGGGAGAAAATTTTATGTGCAGTTCCAGACAATATCAGTGTGAATCATCAGTCAAGGGCCTCTACCCTCATGGGAAATCAATGCTGTACAAGCCACTGGCTTGAGAAACAGGAGCTGTAAAGATGACACCAAGCATGGCTACACTGCTGTCAGCCAAAAATTTGTACAATGTCAGGTGTGTAGTAAGAGGTAGAACTGCTATATCCAAGAATGATGCAAGATTCTTGCAGCAAATGGTCTAATTACATCAGTGGGAACAACCTTGGAAGGGTTGACAACTGTGTGTGTTGAACTGGAAAGAGACTGATTTCTAAGACCTGATAAAGTTCTGAGAGCACTGTGGGCAAATTGATAAAGGACAAGCGAAGGCAATAGATTGGGTAGCTGATCCATGGCTTAGATCAGCTTTCATCCAAAACTTACTCACCCCTAAAAGTACAGGTTACTTTTCAAGATCCCAAGAAGAATATTAGGACTGTATCACAATAAGTTACTCAGGGTTAATATGGTCTTATAAAATGAAATTTCAATGTTCCTTCTATTTGTGTTGTGAAGAACAATTTGAGGAGTGTATTGCCTTCTTTGAAAATCTCAGAATTCTGTCCTAGTCATTCTAATGGATACATATTTCATTGTACTTTTGAGTTCATTTCTCCAAGATAAGACACTGGCCAGCTTTTTCCATATTTACTAGTCATTTGTATACCTTTTTCCATATTTACTAGTCATTTGTTTACCTTTGAATAAACATTTATCCAAGTCTTTTGCTCATTTTAACTTATCTGCTTGTTAGTTCATTGGAAAAGTTTTTTTTAATGTGCTCTAGACATTAACTCTTGTGATATACAGTTTGTAAATATTTTTTTCTAATCTAGAAACTGTTTTTTTCACTCTATCACATCGTTTGATGCATGAGAGTAAAGCTTTATCTGTTTTTATTATTTTAATTTTATTTGTATTAGTAGTTAGCCTGAATTTGTGTCTATGAACCATACACTTGTGGTACCCAGCAAAACCATAAGATGGTAGTGGATCATCTAGAACTGCAGTCACAGATGGTGATGAGCAGCCATGTAGATGCTGGGACTTAAATCTAGGTCTGTTGCAAGAGTAGTTGCTCTTAATTGTTGAGCCATTTCTCCAGCCCCCTGTACAGTTTTTTTTTAATATATTTTAACAGTGATGTCTTAAAGTTAAAAAAAGAAAGAAAAGAAAACTGAAGTTCCTAGAAAAAAACTAATTTATCATCCTATAGGATGTGGATCTAGTAATAAGCTTTCAAATAGGACCCTGTTTTTCCAAGAACTAATAAAAAAACAGAGGTGGGTCTTGATTTATCTAAAAAAAATTCTAAATATCTAACAAAAACAGAATTTCATAGAATGGAAGAAATCTTTATCTTTTCACTCACATTATTGATTAAACACAGAGCACTAAAAGATAGATAAAACTGACAATAAATAGCTCAAGCATGTCCATACCCTCTTCCAATTAGGGATTTGCATATGTAACAACCTGGAAATTTTATTGTACCCCAGTCAGAAAGGCATAGGACTTACAACAAATGTGGAGGAGTGAGAGGAAAATAGAACCATAACTGTATTTTGCTAAGATTGAAAAATGGTGAAGCCATTGTAGACAGCAGTATGAAGAACTCTCAAAAGGTTTGGATGTAAAGAACCATAACCAAACAAAATTCAGGGTTAGGGAGTTCAATCTGAATGGCTACCTCTACAAATTATTCCTCACAGAAGTATCATAAACACTGCATATTTGAGGCTGAAAATTATATAATAATATATTTATATCCCTCATGTATATAACATTTTGTAATGGATAGGTAAACCAGTTCCATGATGATATAAAAAGATTATTCATTATGATAACACCTCCTTCATCCAGCCATACAGCAATATACAAGGTTCACCATTCTCAAACCAATGTAGGTGATACTCCACATCTATGGATATAAAGAGAGATTTCACATGATTCTTTCAGGAGGTATAAGAAGTACATTTAACCAATTAAATATCCCTTATTAATGCAAGTCCTGAAGAACAAGGCTCAACATACTTCATACTTAGTATAATAAACATTTCAGGCTGTATGATGATCAGAATGATGGAGAATTCCAAGGAATTTCTAATAAAAGGAATAACACAAATATAATGCTGTAGAATTAGCCAGAGCATAAAAATTAAAAAAGAAATAAAGCAAAAGGTTGTAAATTAGGAAATGAAGGAGTCAATCTGCCCTGTGTTGGAGAAAATGGCCACTCTTAGGCCAGAACTCTCCACCTGAAAAAACAAACCTAAAGCTCACAAAATAACCAAAGGGCTAGAGGTGATAAGATAATAAAATGTCTTCAGCTCTTGAATACATCAAGTTTATAGACAAAGACACTATATAAATATTTTTCTGTAGTGTTAGTTCTTCTATACTGACTGCATTAGGGTGCCTCGTTTAAATTTTTTTTCATGCTGATTCTTTGAATGCAGCTTTTTCTGCGTACAGAATTACAGTGCAATACTTTATCAAAGCTGACTTATATTAATCAAATTTGTAGTGGTTTGGGGGAAATTAAGTTCTTAGATGAGATTTTTTTCTAGAAAATAAGTATCTGTGTGAGAATCTTTTATAGAAAGTAAGCACTTAATGAGTATTTTATTCTAGTTCATAAACCATTGTTTTGAAACATTCTCCTAACAAAGTACATATTCTTGGAGGTATTTAATAGAGAATTCTCATGAAAGACTTAATAAATTTTATCACTTTTATTGGGGTTTCCACGTATATTTATACCAAGATTTCATCGATTTACAAAATGCCTTTTTATATTGACTTTAATTGCAGAACTTTTCACAAATTTGTATGAAGTAATAAATTTTGTGCCAAGCATACACACTACTCACATGGAGAATGGTTTACTGTACTTTTTAATGTCTTCCCTCTGAAATGTTTAAATGTTTAAAGCTACAATGAATACAAAATATCGGAAAGAACTGCATGACTTTCAGTGCATATCACTTTACAGGGTTTTAGCCTCTTTTTAGATTAAATCTATATTTCAAATGTGATGAGAATATTTTTATAACAAAATCAATGGATTCTCAAACAGTAACTGGCATGAATTGAGGTCTATTGAGAGAAAGTGAAAATTTCATGATGAAGAAGAAATATAGTTCTTATCCATTAATATTTACAACCAAATGTATGGATATAGTTAAATTATACATTGTGACTCAATTAGATATATCTGTTAAGCACTCTGGTCATGCCAGATTTTGTGTACAAATGTAATACCTTTGAAAGTAAACAAAAGCATTACAGAAGGGAGCATTTCTGGATGAAATTAAGCTGAAAGCATTTTAGTTTTCTCTGAGTGACCAACAATAACAAATTCAATGTGTTTCTTGTAAATGAGTATGCAATTCTGAGATTTTGCAAGTTTTAATATGTAACAACTTTATGACATAATTATTTGAATCTATTCTGTTTACATGCACAAGGTTTAAATATATCCAGTAAGCTATTTAAAGGATAAATAATTTACCTGCACTACTGCACGGGACAACATATAGAGATAATAGATGAAAAACAAAGTTCAAACAGGTTTCCTTACTGAACAAGAATGAATAGGAGAGAATAGCACAAAAAGGGGGAATAAGTTTTCTTTGCATATAACCCATTGTATATAAAACTGATGACTGTGGACTCAAGGCAGTAATGGACTACAACAGTTGTCCATAACTAAAAGAGTAAATCATTGCAAAATACTGATAGAGCTATTCATTATTTTTCAAACTTGCCAGAAAATATCCATGATTCAAATGAAAATATGACTTAATATTTTGGAATTTTTCTTTTAAATATCTTGTTTCATAGATTTCTTTCCTTGTATTGTGTCATAAATATTTAGTCTATGAAGACATGTTACTATGGGAATGATTTAAATTTTTTTAAATTAAAAAAATACTATTGATCATGCTGTGTGTGTGTAGATTATAAATATAAACCTACACAACACACAAGATAATGCCTACATAAACCACTGAACAGAGAGAAGTAGAGCTGGTATCTATGTAGCACCTTTACCACTCTCTGAATCTATAGTGCAGGAAGGTAGTCTACATACTACCAAGGAGAAATATAAACATCAAGCCAGTCACAAACCCTTTGATCTACATTGCTATTCTGTCCATAAGGTATGTTAGCATAATGGTGTAACAAAGCTTGTGGGAGTAACAAGCCAAAATTTGATTGAATTTAAGAATAACTCTAGGGCGGGGCGGTGGTGGCGCACACCTTTAATCCCAGCACTCAGGAGGCAGAGGCAGGCGGATCTCTGTCAGTTTGAGACCAGCCTGGTCTACAAGAGCTAGTTCCAGGACAGGAACCAAAAAGCTATGGAGAAACCCTGTCTCGAAAATTAAAAAAAAAAAAAAAAGAATAACTCCAGGAGATGAAACCATACCTCACACTATTTGGGTGACAAGAAACCGATCTAAAGTTAAAAAAAAGAAAAGAAAAAAAAAGAAAATTGCCCCTAAATCCCTAAATGACCTTTTAGTATACTGTAGATACTCATGGATCAAAGCTTTGTTAAGTCCTGAGAAGAGAATATTCCTCCTGGAAAAGTTGGAAAAAACAAATAGAGAGTCTCACTGCGAGACAATATTCAAAGAAGGATAAACATTGGAACACCACTGAATGGGAGGTCTCA